GACATACAGCAATTTCTCATCAAACTTTGTCTAAATTGATTGTGAAAGCTTCAAACTTCTTTGTGCTCTGTGTGTTACAGGAAAAATACAGGGAGATTCACATGATATTGAGTTCCAAGGATCAAAAGTAGCGGTTGAAGATGGGATTGTTAGAGCCATTGAAGGGAATAAAGGGCTTTGGATGGAGGATAGCCATGAACTTAAACCTTGTTGGTCAATATCTCAATCTGGTACATTCCCTAAGCTTTTTCTCCTTCTCAGATTCGTTCTGTTTTCAAATATCTCTGCAGTTATTTTATTTGGGTTGCTTATCAATGTTGTTTCTGGTGTTGCAGCGTGTGGATCTTGAAGCCGAAAACCACGGAAAGATGTTGTCACCAATTCGATTATTAGTCAAGTGTTCTCATTGGGGTTGTCTTGTTTAGGAAATAAAAACTTTTGTATGGTTACAGTTTGAATCTATTGACATTTTTCGCTGTTTTCAAACATTGCTGAGACTAAACAACTGTAAAGTGGACCAAGTGCAGCAACCGTGTGATAATAATGCATAATGTACGAAGGGAGATACTGTTGAACTCATGGTCATGTCGATCACTGACTCTCTTGAGCTGTCTCTTGGGTTCTTCCATGAGTCCGAGCCATCATCTCTAAGGCCAAACATTAACTGAGCTCCATAACTGTTCAGTGTCATAAGTCGATGCTTTCGTTTGTTTTTTATATCTTCGGTTTGATTACAACAAGAAAACAAAAATTATGATCAGAAAATGATTGGGCCATAATTTGCATTGTTTTTTCTTCTCGTCGTTGCGAGTTATTACAATATTTGCATCAATATAATTATTAGTTAAGAAAACAATTAGTAAAAAAAGTAAAACTTCTATAAAAATCGTTATATATAATTTTCCTTTGATACAAAAATGAATAATTTACAAAATGTAAACTTAAGGAAAAAAAAAGTAATGATTACAATAAGTAAAAATGTAAACTTAAATCCATAATGAATTACGGTTTTCTGTATATAAATGTAAGTTTCTTATAAGATTATTAAAAAAATGTTAACTTTGACAAAAATATATAAAGTATTTGTAGTAAGATGATAAATATTTAAATCCTTAAAAGGTAAATTACTACATAATAAAAATTAATAGAATAAAGGAAAAAAATGATAAAATTTTTCTATATAAACATAAGTAAACGAGTTTTATTACATCTCAATCAATTTCTTTATCATCTTTCACAGCTTAAAATATATTCACATAGCTAAAAAAATGACGAATACGGAATTGAGTTTAGCTCAATATGATGCATGGGTGGTAAAAAAGATCTTAACAGATCATGATACTCGTTGGGGTGGTAAACTCACTCTACCACGAGATCAATTTGAACAGTTGATTCCGGAGATGGGAGCTGATATGGTCCAGCAATTTGGATCGGGAGTTGAAGTAAAGATCCATATCGTAAGCGAAGCTCATACCGCTCCTGGTTATCTTGTAACGCTGAAATTCTCTGGCAGCTCATACAGATTTACAAAAGGATGGAGCAATATCGTTAGCGTAAAAGGTTATATAGCAGGCAATCAAATTGGACTCACATGGGATAAATGGACTAAAAGGTTCTTGTTACATCTTATGCCTTAGTTAAATGCTTTTAAAATAAAAAAATTCTATATTTAATATCAAAGTGCTTTTCTAACATTTAGATAAGGGTTTTAATTTATTAGATTTTTATTATTATTTTGTGTGGGGATTTACCTTTTTATGTGGGTTCCATGAATCTTATGATTAATAGTAAAATTAATTTTTTATTTAATTTTACGTTTTAGTGTACTATTATTCTCTTTTCTTGTTGTTTACACAATTAATTAATATTACAAATACATATTTAATTTTATGTTTTAGTGTACTGTTCTCTTTTCTTGCTGTTTACACAATTTTAATAATATTACAAATACATAAGAAAAAAAAAATTGATGGAATCATTGAAGCAAAATCTGATATCTCTGAATGTCAAGTTACCAGACTTGTCTCTCTCAAACTAAGCTCCACGGTTCCTTCTTCTCACCCACCATTGATGCAATCGATTAGTTCTCTTCTTCCTCTTCTCCTGTTTCATCTTTTTAGAATTCGGAACATTTAACGTTACTCATGCTCTTCTGAAAAAGCTGCTACAAGTTGTAGTCCCCCATCGTTAATTATAGTTATCGTAAAGCCAAAGGAGAGACCGAATTTTTCGGCATTTTTCTCACCGCATCCTTCAGGGGTTGCTTTGGAACTTGATTCGAAAGAATCGCCTACGTTGTTGTCATAAGTTAAGGGCATGATTGGTTAATTTGAGGATTTTCTTTTAGGCAACTCTATTGACCCTAACGTATATAATACCCTAACCTTGCTATTTCTTGCGCACTACGTCTAGTCGTCCTCTCTGGCTAAAAATGTAATTACCCTCTATATTGACGAAGAATCGACGAAGATGAAGAAAGCTGATTGTAATTGTTATGACGATTCGTTATCTTCTTGTGAATCGAAATTCGATTTCAGTCATAGGGTTTCATCACAGCAGAGTGAATTCTGGAAGCTCCATGTGTTGGCTGATGTCGGCGCCCGATTGTAAGGTGCAATTTGAGGAACAAAACAACTCAAAGTCTTCTAGTCGACTTCCTTCGTAACTTGCAAGAGAATCAAAACCTGATTTTACTCCTAGGGTTTACTCACGGCCGAGTAAGAACCGGAACCTGGAGATGTTGGCGGCGGCTGCCGCCTCAGCGGTCCTTGGCGAAGAGAATGCGAGAATCTTTTCCAAGGTACCAAGAAAGAAGAGAAGTCGACGCAGTCACCGATCATCGCCGATGGCATGGAAGCGTGTGATCGAGAAACCAGAGAGAAGCCTCATGAAACGCAAAATCGTTGTTCGTTTTGAGGTGGGGTCATCTTCTACGGAAGACCGAGTACAAGAAAACCCTAATCGGGACCCGGAATCTTCTCCTTCTTCTTGCGTCACCACCGACTGCAAGAAACGTCCTCCCGTTAACGTCTGTCGTGGCAAGAAAAGCAAAACCGTTGGTCGTTACAAGTTTTAATGAGAGAAACTCTGTTTCAGTAACTTGCAGCTTAAGTTACTCTGTGCTGCAGCGATATTAAGCCTGCTTTCTCAGCTTATGATGTCTTTTACACTTTTAGATATGAAAAAAAGAACAAGATAAAAGCAACAAACACAAGATGCGGAAAAACTCAATGTGATGATGACATATACAAGAAGATAAATTAAAACGCATGTAAAGGGTTTCTTTTTTGGATCAGGAAAGCAGATGAAAATGGGGAGATTACTGAGCTATCATGGTTTAGAGTCTCTTGTGTTGTCTCCCCCATTTCTTCAACGAGCCCGAGCCATCTCTAAGGCCAGACATTCTTTGAGCTCCATGACAACGTGCCTCATGCTTGGTCCACTTACAGCACGAGCTGCACAAGCGCGTGCTATCTCTAAAGCTTTCCTGGCTGAGTAAGTTAGGCTCAAAATCACTGTTTAGCCTGGGATCAACAATCTCTTGAGTATCGACCTTTAAATCGACCCGCATGGCAATGTGAGGACTTTCACGGTTGTTGTCAATCACAGGCTGATTGGTTATCAACTCCAACAGAACAATTCCAAAGCTATAAATGTCGCTATCGTACCTGCATTATCCAATATACTCAGTGAGTAACACCATGGTCATATAAATATTAAGAACAGAGGAATTTTTGTAATTCAACTTCTCTTATGGATATGAACTTAGGCCAATGTCATATATATCAATTTACTAATATGATTTTTCATTGATGGTTGCCACCATTATTTACTGTATGTATTCCATTTTTGACAAATGGGGTACAATTAAGTTTCATTTTTTTCTGGCTAAAAAGTAGGATTAACTTTTATCATTTTTGGGTTTTATGTGATTATTCAGAACCAAAAGAATAATATATAACAGAATTCATTAAAATTCATTATAAAATTCTATAATCAACTTGTATATTTGCAATTGTGATAGTAAATTTGTTACTCATACATATAGAATAATATACACATAAAACTAATTAAATTACTTTTACTTTAAACAATGTCAAGTTCATCTTTCGTGCAAACGAATTATTTTTGGTAAAGTTTTTTATCTCAACATTAAGGATTTGATACATATCAATTTTATTTGGTATTTGATACTCTCCTCTGTCCAAATATTATTAGCACCTGTGCTTTGTATTTTGCTGAACTCTTAAACGTAAGTCCAGATTTCTTCACAAGCTCCCAAAGAGGTGCTCATATACTCTTCAAATAAGTTTTTTTGCAATTTGCTTTCTTTCACTATGTCTTCTTCTTCATATTCATTAACATCAAGATGATGGTTGTGATTATGATCTTCTGCATCTTCATGTTCATTTTTCGTTTTGAGCTTCATCTATGTAGTTATATGTTACCATGTAATGCGCCAAGCGGAATTCAGCTAAGCTGAAAAAAAAAACAATCAGAACAGAGACAATGAGAAACACAAAACAAAATTAAAACGTTACCCTTCATAGTTGTAGGTCTTACGCCAATACATATTTTATTATCCCGGAAAAAGTCAGGATCTGATGCAATTTTAGTGTCCACCCTCATCGTAGCTCCTTCCAACATTTCTTGCACCAAATCATAAGCATCCCAATGCATTGAATTGTATGTATATATAGTTGTCAACTCGTTGCCACCATTATTTACTGTATGTATTCCATTTTTGACAAATGGGGTACAATTAAGTTTTATTTCTTTCTGGCTAAAAGGTAGGATTAACTTTTTTTTTTGGGTTTTATGTGAGATGTTATTCAGAATCAAGTCAAACAAGTGATTTAAACATGTCAAACAAGTGATTAATAAGAAACACATATAGCAAGTAAATGAACTTTCTACTTTTAGCGTTTCCTAATGACAGTTCGAGCGGTTATTTTGAGGAGGTCTCTCTCTCCATTCTCTTCATCAGCACACGTTTCCTTTTTTTCATTTGGTCAACCATAAAGAATTCAAGAGACAAATTTTACATGTATGAGTTTAACACTTGCAATTTCCTTCGATCAAAAAGCCCCTCTCACTATTCTTCAATCTAATTAGCATTAACCAAATACACACTTCAGTGGAGTTCCACGTGTTCGAGGAAGATAACAAATACAAATTTGATGTCTTCTGCAATATCATAAACAAGATAGAGAAGAATCCATCTGAAAGTTTTGCCTAATCAGACACCTGAAATAAAACACTCTCGAGTGCCATGCTTTTACTACAACCAGTCTTGTTGCTTCCATTTTCTTGAGGCTAAGACAATGTATCGATAACTCAGATCTAGATCATAGAGATTGGTCTACGGGATTGTGTGCTTCGATGTCAACGTGCTGGATTCCAGGGACAAGCTCTTGAATCTCTTTCTCTAACCGGTCCACTTCGCTTCCTAAAGCCGTGACAACTTCCTCACCTGCAACAGATTACTCAGTATTTTTTTCAAAGCTTGGAACATCATAAACTATGACAAATCCAGAAGCAGAACTTTGGTGCATTGCATACCGTAGTTTGACATAATGTCCAGCATTGCTGAATCATCATCTCCTCTCTTTGCAGCCTCCCGAAACTAAGCAAGTAAGTACACCATCAATTCTCAAGTAACTAAACCATATACTATTTAACTAATGGTAGTAATGTTCATCAGCTATGAGATTAGAAGGCTGCAAATTTAGTTACCTGTTTCGCCCACTCATCACGCCCAGTTCTCTTCAGATAGTTTTGGACAACAACCTGCCCGTTGAAATCTGTTTGCATATAGCAATTAATACAATAAAATATCACTACAGAACTCTGGAATATGACTGACAAAACTATCTTCCTTTCTCTAAGGTTTCGACTCCTTTCATCTTGTTATTTTTCAAACCAAGGGAACAATCCAATCCTTTGAGAGCGGAGAACACAACAGTTTCAAGAAAACTCACCTATTTCAGCTTTGAATCTGAAGGATCCAGGACCAATGACTTCACTTTTGCAATCATATAAAGCATCTACAACCTACACACCAAAATCCAAGTTTCATTGAATTCGAGTTCGGAGTTATATATGAGATTTCTGGTAGTGTAAAGCAAGATTTGTACCGAGTCGTTCTTCAAAAACTGAAGCACTTTACGCATGTCTTGATCATCCATTGCTCTTCCGATCAAGGCATGCCGGTTCCTTTGAATGAGAAATATAGCCACCTAGTAGAAGTCCACACTCTTTTGGTTTAGAAATGTAATATAAATTACCAATATCATCACAAGTTAAGGAGAGACCAAACATACCATTCCAAGTAAATTCCCGACAACAATCGACCCTATAGGATCATAGATGGGATTCCCTGTCACGTTAACAGCAACAAGAGATGCCGCAGCAATCGCCAAACCTGTCACTGCAGCGCCATCCTGCGTGTTTACAATATTGTCCAACAGTTAATTAATTACAAAACAGGATATGATTTAGCAGTAATTTTCATAGATACACTCCAACAACATTCCTTTGCTCTGCTTCACAATATGTTTAAGAAAATGACCCAAGACCTATAAAGCGATACCTCGGTCATAACAGCAACAGAAGTGGGATCATGACCACGCCATATATAATCTCTTACGGTCATGCCTTCTTGTGCAGCTCCTTTTTTGACAGCTTGAATTGCAACAAGAAGCGAAGCACCTTTTACGACATAAAAGATTTAACAACCAGCATCAGGAGTGCAGTCTTGAAGCATAGCGAGATGATGCAAAAAGATCAAGAAAAAAGTTATTACCTTCAATTAGAAAAGAGCCACCAATTACCAAAGCAGCATATTCCATGTTCGGAGGTGGCTGTGAAAGATTATCAAAATTGATGAACAAAGAAGATCAAATAGAAGATGACATCAAGGTCACAGAATGTAACAAGACAAATTACCTGAGAAGTCCACAAGTTCTGTACTCCATTAACTATGGTAGCACCAGACCCAAGGCAAAAGATTCCAACAGCAGATATCAAAGACCATACAAATCTTTCCTTTGAGTATCCATAGCTGAGCAAAGAAACGAAAGTTTTTCTTAAGAGTTTTTCAAACAAAAGAAAGCTGTTCTGTTCAACTACCAAAGAGTATTATATATAAGATTTAATGAAGACTCACGGATGAAGTGCATCTGGTGCACGCCTCGAGCTACTGAGCCCATAAGCAAGAAGCGCCTACAACATCAAAATGGATCAGTTTCAGTCTGCACTCAGTAGTCAACACATTAAAACTGGACACAAAAGCACAAGGCAAAAAAACATAACAGCAACAAACCTGGTTAGCAAAATCAGCGACAGAGTGAACTACTTCAGCCATTATGACATGGCTAGAACTTGTCCACCAAACCCCAAACTTGAGCGAAAACACAAGGAAGTTGCACCATAGTGCAGTATTGACAGCTCTTTGACTGCAAGAGGTTCACAACAACATAACTCAGGAAAACACCAAAATAAGGTTTAAAAGATATAGATAGAGAGGGCTTCACTAGTACAAAGAGTATGAAACTCAAATTATTTGTTATCTGATATGTCACCAAAATAAAGCTATGAAACTAATCCCCAAAAAATTAACCAGGCTAAATCTTCACGAGGATACACCAACAGATCAAATATCTAACTTTTAGAAACTCAAACAACCAATTAAAACCAAATGCATTAAGCTATCGGATAATATACAATAGATGAAATCAACTCTCCAACCTTCGTTAACCACAGCCCTAATCGAAAAACGAACAAGACTACTTAAGACCACATTACCTGTGTCGATCATTGATCTCAATTCTCTTCACTTGTTTCGCCCTAGTGAAGAAACCTGCACACGAGCAAAAACCCAAACAAAAATTTCTCCACGCTAAGTATAAAGCAAGCTATGAAACAACAAAAAAATGGAAACTTGGGGTCGAGGAAGAGAAGACATACTCCGGTGAGAGGAGTAGGAATCAATCAAAGGATTATCTCTCTCGAGCGAAACAGAACATCGCACACCAGGACCTTTAATTGAACAGTTTGTGGAGAGAAACCCTCTTAACTGCGAATTCGAACGGATAAGAGAGCTGAAACTCCGGTGAGATTCGACAAACCCATCGCTTTTCTCGTCGAATTGCAACAATAGGTGAAGTGAGCCGCCGACACTTGTTCTTCTGTAACATCTCCCTGGGGAATGAAGAAGGCGAGAGAACAAGCGATGCGACAATTGCATTTCGGAAGTGTTTAGAGCATGCAAGTATGGGTTTTTTTTCCAGAGAAAATCAAAAGATGCCCAAAAGGAGAAAGCTTTGCTTTTGTGTCCCGGAATCTCTTTCTAATTTCGGAAACTTGGAGAAGAGTTTGGATTCAGAAAAGGAGGGAATTGATTTTTGGTTTCGTTTTTTCTTGGTGATAGGTCTCGGCGGAGGTATGTTCTCTGCGTGTTGGCCATGAAGTTTAAGAAGACGAGCAAAATATCTTATTTTTTCAATTGCTTCACCCGGAAAAATCATATTTTCGACAAAAAGGGTGAATTTTTTTTTTCATTAGGAAAAGAAAACCAATATTTGAAGAAAGAAAAGAAAAAAAGGATAAGAAAATCTTTATACATCTCCGAGTCAATTATTTAATTAAAGATGTAAACTTTTTCTGTCCACAAAGATGTAAGAATATCTTCATCTCTGTATTTTTAACCTTATTCCCAAAGCTTAGCCTCACAAATTAACAAATAAAATAGCATATAATGTCGTCACATGTATTTGAAAAATGAAACTATGAGGAGATTTTCCTGATAAGATGAGATTATTCCTGATGTTCTTTAGAAAAGAATTTGCAAAAAAAAAGGTGTTCAATTCTAAAAAATCTTTTAACAATTGGGATATTTAAAAGTCTAGACAAAAAAATCATATGTAAAAATCTTTTATGCCCCTGAAAAAATATGTTATCATTGAAAATCTGTTTAGCAATTTTCTTTGGCTAATATTATCACAAACAAAATTTGTTTCTTTCTGTTGACTCAGAGAAGCCTGAGGGCATTGAAAGAGGAGAGAACATGGTTCACTTCACAATGGGGCTAAGCCTCCAAAACCCTGGGCCATAAGGAGAACACTAATTTGGTGAGATCTTAAATAAAAGTTAGTTTGTCTTATAACATCACATCAGGCGTATGGACCAATGCAACAACGGTCTATGAAGAAGCAATTTTGAATCATACATAAGAAAAAGAACAAACATCGTCCACCCACAGATTACAACATCGTCATAGATCAAATCCAGATAACGTATATAAACTCAGATTCTTTTAAAGGAAATGATAAAGCTATATAGCACCTGAGATGATCAGACTCTGTTGAGATCTTCTCTTGTTCTGTTCTCACTGTGAGTTGCTTACGTTATCGGCCACTACTACCATCATTTCACCAGCCTCATGATTTGCATCCTGCAAAGATATATACCACATGTCTTAATAATAAACTCCATAAAAGACGAATGAATTCGTTTTAGCACAACAGATTCTTTGGTCAAAACATCATGTTGCTTACTTCATTCTTATTTAACGGGGCATTTTGCGCTGTTTGAGGAGCGCCTTTGGATAAGTCTCTGAGAGCACCCTGAAATTACAAGTGTCGTCATTAAGACAGACAAATCATTGAATCAAATGTGCTACAGAGTAAGCAATGTAGAGAGAAAGAGAACTGGTCGATTAATAATTAAGTATTAGCTTGCCTTGTTTGCCCACATAAGTCCACATGCATTGCAAAGTGTTCTTGGCCCTTCAGGTCCACGCCGCATCATTGGAGTTGACTTCTCACCGATTCCACAGTGCCGACATCTTACAGTTTCCAGAAACATTCGAAGGCAGAAAAATCAAGATATGTTCTCTTAGTCAACTACAGTAGGGCAAAATCTATTCCTCATCTAGATATACTCAAACGACAGCTGTCTATTCCAAAGTTATTATCCTCTTCAACGATTAAAATTTCCTCAATGCTCAAGATTATCATATATTGAATCAATGATAAGTTTCAAAGTTTTAGAACCTCTGCAATGTTTTTTAGAAGCAAAAACAACCAACTTAAGATGCTTAGCAAACCCCATAATCTCTGCCTTAATTAGGTTCAGGTTTATAACTAACTCAGATACTTTCAGCTTAAATTCAAAGCTTCAATTAACTTACGAGATCTCTTGATTCTGAGCCTCGCAGCCTTCTATAGCCCAGGTTTGGTTCGACCCCCAACTAGATCCAGCAGATGCGGCTTCATCATTGTTTGGCTTGGCAGATGTGAACTGACCTTTATTGCGTTGCATCCTGTATACCAGAATAAAAAAAAACAAAAGCAATCAAAATTACAAGAGAGCAATCTCAACAGATGTACAAGTAGACCAGACCAAGTAGACAGTAAATGTACCTCAAAGCTACCTCCTTGCGGACTGTATACCTAATCTTCTTATCAAAATTCCTCCCTTTTCGTTTCTCTCGAAATCTGACCAAAGAAGCCAACCGCTGTGGCATACTAAACCTTTGAGGAGTACCAGGCAAACCCTGTTTCATTGACTTACTTAGCAACGCATCAAGGAAGTGAACTTATGTCCCCACAAAATGATATCAAATCTTACCAAAACCCTATTGTTCTGATGAGATGATGCTACTAGGCCTGTAGGGGGTGCCTGAGGTAATTCACGCCCACCCAATAATAGAAGCACAGCTTGTACCTGCCGCAGATAAGTGAGAGGCGCTCACGCGTTATACTCGAAAAGTGAAAGAAAAAAAAACACACAAACCAACTACATCCTTCAACCACATGCTACATTGCCACTTGTAGTGATAAACAGGTTTGACATGTACCTTTTCAGGCAAGACGCTGTCAAAAACGTAGACTTGTCCTTGAAAAGACAACGTCAGTTGATCTCCTTGTTCGTTACCACGGTCGACCACTTCACCACGATTGTCAGTTATATTTCCAGGGTGAGAAGGAATGTCTGTTTCCACTCCTTCACTCATCCCACCACCATTGCCACCATCAGCATGGTCATCGACGATCACGCTTCCGTTGTGGATTTGGTGCAAGTCATCATCTTCATATGGCACATGCATTGGATCTTGATCTTCTCCAATGTGCATTCGATTATCGTTTCCATGAAGGTCATCATCATCCATGGATCAATTTACCTGGTTAATAAAGTGGAAGTGAGACAAATGTACATTAAAACTGGAAATTTCATATATAAAACAACTATTGTAGGTTACAAAAACGGAAAGGGGTGGATAAAGAAACGCAGGTAGTCTTATAGATGAACACATACCTTTAAGCTTAATATAGAACATAAGTAGTCAAAGTAGAAGGGCACAAACCAACAATTTAACTTTCGAACAATAAAAGAAGCAACAAACTTCAAATTAGCAAGAAGCAGAACCTATATTGCATCAATCAGATCCTACCAAAAATTATAAATTTACAAGTTTGAAGCTTTACAAAAGAACATATCATACCAATTCTATGACCCCCAAATTTAAGCAAACATAAAAAAACCCTAAGAAACGAAAGCAAATCCTGCAACTAAGCCACCCAAAACGAGTACCCACTTTCCCCTCTTGAGAGATTACTTTTTTCATTTCCAGACGCAAAACCGGATAATAGCTTTGGATGAAAGTACCTATTCGTGTGGGAGCAACACCAAAAGAGAAGAATGAAGATGTCGAAGACCCAACGAAGAAACGATGAAGTGAGACGATCGCTAGCACGGAAGAGATGAAAAACGACCGGAAAAGGAGAAGAGAGACGGACGGCTGGAACACCCGGCGGAGTTTATATCGGCGAGGCGATTTGAAGAAAGAAAATCCAAGAAATAATGCGAGAGAGAGAGAGACGGAGCGGTGAAATAAAACCAGGGAGGGGCTAAAGAGACTCCATCTATTATTCTATCAGCAAAACAATAAATAAAGAAAAGTGACGGACAAATAAATAAATAAAAGTATTTTTTTTTTGTATGTTGAAGTCTCTTCTTTTATTCTTTCTTCGTCTCTTCCTTAAATCGGATCTAAGAACTTCGATTTGTTTGGGAAAGCTCATCTCATCTCTCTGTTCTACTGTTTTCCGGATCAGAGGATTCGAAAAAATTTGAAATCTTCTCGCTTTTATCTTCCTCTGTTTCATGGAACCTGAATTCCCAATTCGTCTCTGTTTTTGTTGAGTGGGTGGTGAGATGGCGAGAAGTAGATCGATTAGTGGTTCTGGGCTATGGAAATATTTGAATCCGGCGTATTATCTCAGAAGGCCGAGACGTTTGGCTTTGCTTTTCATCGTGTTCGTCTCTGTTTCTATGTTGGTTTGGGATCGTATAAATCTATCCCGTGAACATGAGGTATGTTTGTTTTTGTCTCTTCATGGAATCTAAATAGGCGCTGAATCAATGTCTAGGAGAAGACAGCTTTAGTATCACAGCTTATTTTTTAAGTAGCTTATGTTTTAGGTCTGGTGTTGTTTATTGCATTCGTAGCTTTAACTTATAAGTTAGAAAGCTGAGTTATTTATGGAGTCCCTTCAATAAGAGCCTTATTTTGGTATAAAAGAGCTGTAATTGATCACTTTTGGGCTCAATTCATCCATTTCTCGGGAAGAAATTAGCGTTCGTTAGAACAAAGTATGATACTTTTGTTTCAAGGAAGTGAATGATTCTCTTGTGATCATTTGCCACTTGTCCTGTACTGCTGCTGTTCTACAAATTTTTCTGTCTTGCAGGTTGAAGTTAATAAGCTAAATGAAGAATTTTTACGGTTGGAACAGATGGTAAGATAGATATTTTCCTCTTAACTCTACATAGCCTTAGGTGATTTCTTTGGTAAACTTAGGATCCTGCTTTGATCTTTTCTTCAACTTCGTATTGTATAGTGGTTTTCGTTTCTGGAAATGAGGCTTATTTGGTATCAGATGGACTCTGAGTAGCTTAATACCTACTGAGTTTTGAAAAACTATGTGGTTTTGTAATGGTTTTCAGTTGGTCAGCTAACTAACTATATTTTCTGCTAGTTAGAAGAGCTTAAAGGTGTTGGAATTGATGGTAAACCTTTGAAGACTCTGAAGGATGTTCCAGAAGATCCAGTTGATATCGAGCGAAGGCAGAAAGTAAAAGAGGCAATGATCCATGCTTGGAGCTCATATGAGAAGTATGCATGGGGAAAGGATGAGCTTCAGGTATAAAGTTATTTTCCAAATAAATTTCACCCTTGCCAATAAATAATGTTGGGATCTAAAAATCAATATTAGTCGTGACATTTTAGTGCCTCCTCTATAAATGTTGCGGTGAGCCTTTTGCTATGAGGTTATCTGAAGTTACCACACTTTCCATTAGGCGTGCAAGAATTGTTTTTGTTTAAGTAGTAAGATTATTTACTTCCTGTATTCTGCAAAAAACCGTTTGGTCTGAAACTATTTTTCTTTCTTTCATTTTTTATTGTTAGCCTCGGACAAAAGATGGCGCTGATAGCTTTGGTGGCCTTGGAGCAACTATGATAGATTCGTTAGATACACTCTACATAATGGGTCTAGACGAGCAGTTCCAAAAAGCCAGGGAGTGAGTAATCACAGGCACTTCATGATAATACGTCCTCTTTTTAAGCCACATAACTGTTCTCGTCTTCATTAACACTCCAATTTCTTACATGTCTGTCTTTGCCAGTCTTCATTTGCTTGTTGTGTTTTATTTGCAGGTGGGTTGCAACCTCATTGGATTTCGACAAGGATTATGACGCCAGCATGTTTGAGACAACCATAAGGTTGCTTTATCAGGTTTACTGTAGTTGTTTTCTGTATCTGTCATAGGAGGAGTCAGATCATTTGCGATTAGTAGTTGGTTTTTGATTGACATAAGATGTGGAACGGATTTATTGCATCTGATTATGCCTTTTCTCTTTATTTGCTTCCAGAGTTGTTGGCGGACTTCTCAGTGCATTTGATCTTTCTGGAGACAAAATTTTCCTAGAAAAGGCTAAGGATATTGCAGACAGATTGTTGCCGGCATGGAACACTCCAACGGGTATACCTTACAATATAATCAACTTGAGAAGTGGAAACGCTCACAATCCTTCGTGGGCGGCAGGGGTGAGTTCTATATTACTTAGTGGCCTCTCTGTTGTATTGTGTCATCTTGATAACAAGACATTGTTTATTCATGTCGATCCTTTTAAAGCCTTTAACATTGAATGTAAATCATATTCGTTTCTAGAGACATTGGCTATTTGCTCCAGCAACACAGTGCTCTTGTTCTCTAGTTAACGTTTCTGATTATGTTTCTAAAGGTCCTTAGAGGATATTGATAGTTAAAACCAAATTCTGACCACTTACTTAGATGCTTCGTCCCCGTATTCTCTTCCACTAGCAATCACATGTGGTCTGTCGGTTTCAGCTGATAGTTACATTTTTTTTGTTTGCTGTCATAGGGAGACAGTATACTTGCAGATTCCGGCACTGAGCAGCTCGAATTTATCGCCCTATCCCAGAGGACAGGGGACCCAAAATATCAGCAGAAGGTGTATTTCTCTGTTACTTGCATGCGTAATTTATAGATCAGTTAATGGGAGAATATTCAATACAAATTTTCTTATATCCTAAGTAGGTGTGAAAGATGCAAGAAATCTGCATTAGTACCGTATTAATACTGAAGAAATCAATTGCTGCTAAAGCTAACTCGTTTGTTGACTCTGTGTCTCTCAGGTAGAGAAGGTTATTACAGAACTGAATAAGAACTTTCCTGCGGATGGTTTACTTCCTATCTATATAAATCCAGATAATGGTAATCCATCGTACTCCACCACAACATTTGGTGCCATGGGAGATAGGTAATTTCTTCAATAAGATTTCATTTTGTGTTGGTCAGTCGTCTCTGATTTCATTTTGCTCTGTAAAAGTTAACAATGTTTTGCTTTTATAGCTTTTATGAGTATTTGCTCAAAGTTTGGGTGCAAGGGAACAAAACGACAGAAGTGAAACCCTATAGGTAAACTAAGCTCGACATTGTATACACTTTTTCAAAATGAGCAAAAAATGATAAAAACTAAGTCTTTCTTGTGGAATGAATCAGAGAAATGTGGGAGAAGTCAATGAAAGGTTTACTAAGCTTGGTCAAGAAATCAACACCTTCATCATTTACATATATATGTGAGAAGAATGGAAATAGTATGATCGATAAGGTAAAAAAACCGATATGATTTTTCAACTCTCTACGTCGAGAGCGTTGTGGGTTTGTCTTCATTTCTTTCTCGGCTTTATTCAGATGGATGAATTGGCATGCTTTGCTCCTGGAATGTTGGCTTTAGGAGCATCAGGTTATGGTCCTGATGAAGAAAAAAAGATTCTTTCACTCGCTGAGGAGGTACAGTAGAGTCTCAAAAGTGTTTTAGAGCTTTGAGTGAAGTTTCTGCTTTCTGCTTTCTGCTCTCTGCTTTCTGCTCTCTGCTTATTGCTGTTTCTCCCACTTTACTGCAGCTTGCCTGGACTTGTTATAACTTTTACCAATCGACACCAACGAAACTCGCTGGGGAGAATTATTTCTTCAATGCAGGGCAGGTTGGTGAATAAAGGGTTTATTTTTCAAATCTGTTTGTATATGTTAGTTGGCTGGTTTGGTCATATTGGCACATGGTTGTTTCAGGACATGAGTGTTGGAACGTCATGGAACATCTTAAGACCAGAAACAGTTGAATCACTGTTTTATCTCTGGCGGTTAACTGGGAACAAGACATATCAAGAGTGGGGATGGAATATATTTCAAGCATTTGAGAAGAACTCACGTGTAGAGTCTGGTTATGTAGGCTTAAAGGATGTAAGTTCTCTTCTTATTAAAGAACCCGTTTCCATGTTTTGAAAACTTGCATTATTAGCGTTTTACTTTTTTCATTTCCACAGGTCAATACAGGCGCTAAAGACAACAAGATGCAGAGCTTCTTTTTAGCTGAGACTCTGAAGTATCTTTATCTTCTCTTTTCGCCTTCATCAGTTATACCATTAGACGAGTGGGTTTTCAACACAGAAGCTCATCCGCTCAAGATCGTGCAACGGGGTGATCAGCGTAAGCCACCCATAACATTACGCCAGAGGCGGTTCGGTGGGACCAAGGGTTAGTAGACAGTTTCTGCTCAAATGGAATTTGATATTACAATACAACAAAGTCTGAGGCACACTTTTGTATTAGTTTGGATAACAGATAAAGAACAGATGGACAAGTTTTTGCCACAGCAATTAGTAGAAGTACTTACTGTTTTCTAAGTATATTGATACTACTATCATTTTAAGATCTAAAACGCTTTGCAAATGAGAGCAATCAAGATTGACCACAAAGAATGAAAGCGTGAAGAAGGCTCTGAGCAAAATGAGCTTGATCTGATGTCCCTGAGACCACCACCAATCCCTCTGTAGTCCCGGCCTTTGGATCATGCACCACTACGTTCGCTCCTGATACCTGTTTGTTTCGGTTTACAAACGATATTACAAAAAGACCGTCTTTCCATCTGAAAACATACATTCTCGGATGAGTTTCGACTTACCTGCTTGATGTAGTTCAGGTTACTGCAGTTCTCACCATAGACATGACCTAAGTATGCCTGAGGAACCACAATCTCCACATTTGCGCTTGTCATTGCCGGATTCTCGCTGCCAATGGGCTCATTTCTCAAGGCAAACCCGTGGTTCACATCAGGAACCATACCACCGGGATGGCCATCGATAGGTGGCTGGTAATAATTGATAAATATTAAATTAGAAGAAAAAAAAAAGGATATGGTAGAAACAGAAACCAAACTATCATAGAGAGACATACCTGTGGGGTCCAAGACATTGGAGAAGGTGGTCTGTCAAATCCAGGACCATGACAATGCCTCTCTGTAGTCATATGTAATAAGTAGACATGATTGAGAACAGAGATAGATGCATGTATCAAATAGTGGTGATAATGGGTAAGGAACTGATCAAAATACCATGGAATGATCCTAATGGAGAATGGTACCGATCTGGAGAAGCTGGATATTGCCTCGGTCCAAAAGGAGGAGGCGGTTCTGGATATGGCCCCATGAACGGCGGAGGTGGACCACCCATTCCTTGAAAAGGAAGTCTTCCAGGAAACATGGCTTCACGAAGCCTACTTGTTATTTGGAACAAAGCATCTTGAACAGTCTTCAAATTGCCAATGATCTGCCAAATGCAGCGACATGTTCTATCAATTACCAAAAAAAAAAAACTGCAAGAGTTGAAAAACTTATCGAAACTATATGATACATACCTGCACAATCTCATCATGTTGAGACTCATACTTTGTAGCTTGATCTTTTGCAAAGACGCGGATGCTAGCACCAGTGGCTCTCCTCATCTCACTTATCACATGTCCCCCTTTACCCAACAGACGTCCTATATACGGAGAATGCACAAGAAGCCGTGCAACAACCGCAGCACTAGGCTCAAATCCAATCTCAACGATTCTATTATGCACACGCATCACAGCATCCTGAGCAAGAGAGTGCCTTCTCTCCAAGTTCTACAACAATGTAAACAGATGATATGACATATAATAAACCAAACTTCCTTGGATCGAATCCAACATACAGTACCTCTCGTGCTGATATCACAACGATACGCTCCTCTGTATCATGAGTCGGATCAGAGACCTTGATTGATGCACCGGTCTCGTTTTGCAGAGCTCGAACCACGGCTCCACCTTTCCCTATCAAGCTCCCGACTTTGTCAGCAGGGCATAACAGCCTGAAGGCGACCTCCTCTTCAACAACGGGTCTATTAAAGGGTCCAACGTCTTCAGGCATTGGATTAGGAGGATGGTCCCACTGATGGTACTCCATAGAATGATATTCCGGCGGATAACCAGGCGGCGGAAACGGACACTCTTCCCAAGTCGGAGGCGCACCGTTCTCTTGAAGACAGTTTGTGATCAACAGAAGCGCCTTCTTCACAGTCGAGAAGTTTCCAGTTATCTATACACAAGAACAAACTTGAAATCACCGTAAAAAAAAAACTCAAACTTGAATTGCCACAAAGATGCAAGAATAGTTACCTGAATCACAACATCTCCAGGGAAAGCACAAGGAGGAATCTGATCAGTGGATGCAATCCTAACGGTGGCTCCACTGTCTTCTCTGATCCTCTGCATCATATTCCCTCCTTTACTCATCAAGAAGTCGACTTGGTTGCCTCTAACGATCATCCGACACAAACCCTCGCACTCGCCTTTGTCCAATTCAACATCCTCTGCAGAAGCAGCATCATCACCAAACACTATTCTCTCCAAAACCCTAACCAGAGCCATCTGTCCCGAAGACGGCGCTTCCTCGTCGGCTTTATCTCCGGCCACACACTCGCTTCCCGCTTTGCCTTGCTTCGTCGGCTCCTCCGAGCTGTTGTTTTCCGAATCGCATCCATTAGACTCGTCCTTCTTCGAGTGATCTTTCCTTCCGCTCGGTGCGATTATCAACACTACACGCTCCTCGGAAGGAACAGGAATATCATCGATGACGCGGATTTTGGAACCGGTAACAGATTGGAGGTGGCGAATGACAGAGCCGCCTTTTCCGATTATTGCACCGGTCCTTGAGGCGGGACACAGAAGGCGGAAGTGTACAGCTTCCGCCGCCGCCGTCGCCGGTCGCTTGGAGGAAGAGAAGTCCATTTCGGCGAAGAAGCTCAACTTCTTAACTATTTAATTTCCCAAACAAAGCTTTTACCGTAAAATCTCTATAAATTTATCAATAATATTAAGATTTCAAAATTTTATTAACGATATTTTTAATTTAAACTTTTAATATTCACTATTTGTAAAGATATCTTTATTTCCCTTTATTTATTTTTTTCTACTCTTTTTAATTTTCTATTTTTAAAAATATTTATAACTGTTTATTAATATTTGTTATTTTCTGTTTTAAAAATTATAATTTAATCCTATTATACGAATTTTCATTCTGCTTTCATTTGATTCTATTTAATAACTATATTTAACTTCAAAATTATCTATTCTTATTTCATATTTATGATATACTCGTAAATATCCATCTTAAATTCTAAAATATCAAAAAAGTTATCAAATATTCTTGTTCATAACTATTTATTAATATTTATGATCTTTAAAATTATAATTTAGTCTATATACTGGAACTTTCTATTCATTTATGATTTTCTCTATCTAATGATTATTGTGAATTATTCTTTTATTTAAAGTGATCATTTTAAATATATTATTCTACTTAATATTTATGATTTTCTTTTATTTAAAACACTCTACAAAAATCATTAATAAATTCAAAATAACTTTTTGAGTAAAACTGAAGAAAAAAAGGCAAAAGAAAGAAGAAGACAAACTACAAAAACCCAAACCTCTCTGTCTTTCTACTTCAATGTGCTTTCTTTTTCTCTGTTTGGCCCTCTTTTCTCTCTCTAGAAAATTCCCCAGTGCTTATCCTCTACTTTAACGAGGAAGAAGAGAAGGGATCCTTACTTTTTTTTTCTTTTGTTGTTGTTGGGGTTTAACGTTTAAAGTGGTTTTTACTTATGGGGTTGGAGATGTTCTCGGCGGTTTAAACCATTTTTCTGGGGTTTTGTTTTTCAAGATCTAAATCAGATCTGGTGCTTTGAAACCCACTCGCTTCAAAAATCAGATCTTTCCTACTTTCAAAGATGCAGAGACCACCTACCGAAGATTTCTCCTTGAAGGAGACTAAACCTCATCTCGGCGGAGGCAAAGTCACCGGAGACAAGCTCACGTCCACCTATGACCTCGTCGAGCAAATGCAGTATCTCTATGTCCGTGTCGTTAAGGCTAAAGAGTTGCCTGGTAAAGACTTAACTGGTAGTTGCGACCCTTATGTCGAAGTTAAGCTCGGGAACTACAAAGGCACCACAAGGCATTTCGAGAAGAAATCAAACCCTGAGTGGAACCAAGTTTTCGCCTTTTCGAAAGATAGGCTTCAAGCTTCTTTCCTTGAAGCTTTTGTGAAGGACAAAGATTTCGTGAAAGATGATTTGATTGGTCGCGTTGTGTTTGATTTGAATGAGATACCTAAGAGAGTGCCTCCTGATAGTCCTTTAGCTCCTCAGTGGTATAGGTTAGAAAATAGGAAAGGGGATAAAGTGAAAGGAGAGCTTATGTTAGCTGTTTGGTTTGGTACTCAAGCTGATGAAGCTTTCCCTGAAGCCTGGCACTCAGATGCTGCCACGGTTAGTGGAACTGATGCTTTAGCCAACATTAGGTCTAAGGTTTATCTCTCTCCCAAGCTTTGGTATCTTAGGGTTAATGTCATCGAAGCTCAGGATCTGATACCGAGCGATAAAGGAAGATACCCTGAGGTTTTTGTGAAAGTGATAATGGGAACTCAGGCGTTGAGGACGAGAGTGTCACAGAGCAGGAGCATCAACCCAATGTGGAATGAGGATTTGATGTTTGTCGTAGCTGAGCCCTTCGAGGAGCCATTGATTCTAAGCGTGGAAGACAGAGTTGCACCAAACAAAGATGAAGTCTTGGGGAGATGCGCGGTTCCGTTGCAGTATCTGGACAGGAGGTTTGACTATAAACCGGTGAACAGCAGGTGGTTTAACCTCGAGAAGCATGTTATCTTGGAAGGTGGAGAGAAGAAAGAGATCAAATTCTCCAGCAAGATTCACATGAGGATCTGTTTGGAAGGCGGGTACCATGTGCTTGACGAGTCTACACATTACAGTAGTGATCTTAGACCAACCGCAAAGCAACTGTGGAAGCCTAACATCGGTGTGCTTGAGCTAGGGATCTTGAATGCGACCGGTTTAATGCCTATGAAAGCCAAAGAAGGTGGTAGGGGAGCCACGGATGCGTACTGTGTGGCCAAATATGGGCAGAAGTGGATCAGAACTCGTACGATCATCGATAGCTTTACGCCGAGATGGAACGAGCAGTACACTTGGGAGGTTTTCGATCCGTGTACTGTTGTTACCGTCGGTGTGTTTGATAACTGCCATCTACACGGCGTTGACAAGAACAGCGGAGGACAAGGAGGGAAAGATTCAAGAATCGGGAAGGTGAGGATAAGGCTCTCTACTCTCGAGACTGATCGAGTCTACACGCATTCGTATCCGCTCTTGGTGCTGCATCCTAATGGAGTCAAGAAAATGGGAGAGATTCACTTAGCTGTGAGGTTTACTTGCTCTTCACTGATCAACATGATGTATATGTACTCCATGCCTCTCCTACCGAAGATGCATTACCTCCATCCTCTCACGGTTAGCCAGCTCGACAACTTGAGGCATCAAGCGACTCAGATTGTGTCAACGAGGCTAACACGAGCAGAGCCGCCGCTGAGGAAAGAAGTCGTTGAGTATATGCTTGACGTTGGTTCCCACATGTGGAGTATGCGTAGAAGCAAGGCGAACTTCTTCAGGATAATGGGAGTTCTAAGTGGATTGATCGCTGTAGGGAAATGGTTTGAGCAAATCTGCCTGTGGAAGAATCCGATAACGACGGTTTTGATCCACATCTTGTTCATCATCCTCGTCGTCTACCCTGAGCTCATCTTGCCCACTGTCTTCCTCTACCTCTTCTTGATTGGAGTTTGGTACTATCGATGGAGGCCGAGGCATCCTCCACACATGGACACGCGTCTCTCACACGCTGACTCAGCGCACCCTGACGAGCTCGACGAGGAGTTCGACACTTTCCCTACTTCCCGACCATCAGACATCATCAGGATGAGATATGACAGGCTGAGGAGTATCGCAGGGAGGATTCAGACGGTTGTTGGTGATCTTGCAACTCAGGGAGAGAGGTTCCAGTCCTTGCTGAGCTGGCGTGACCCGCGTGCCACTGCTCTCTTCGTCCTGTTCTGTCTGATAGCTGCAGTGGTTCTGTATGTAACTCCCTTTCAGGTCGTGGCTCTTCTCATTGGCTTGTATGTGCTTAGACACCCGAGGCTCAGATACAGGCTCCCGTCTGTTCCACTTAACTTCTTCAGGAGGCTTCCTGCAAGAACTGATTGCATGCTCTGAGCTACTTACTCTCTTAGATTTCTCCGTTTCAAGAAGAAAAAAAAAATCATCTTTTGTTATCGTTTTAAGTCAGTACCTTTGTGTGATGGTGTTTATGTCTTTTCTGTTTGACATTTCTTGAGTTTAAGACCTTTTTAAAAACTTTGTTTTTTGAATGTAGTAAAAGAAGTCTTTTTCCCTAAAGGGAGCAAGCTTCTTAAGTGGTAAGTTCAGCTTTTCAAGTTTATATTTTGTAAGTTATTAATTTTTGATGGGAGAAAACGCACAATGGCTTGTGATGTGCTTAGACATCTCATGAGGTAGACGATGAATCGAAAACCGAAATTTCATCAAACCTAACATAAACCAAACCGAACCGTCGAACCGAATTGGAAAAATCCAATGTTCAATTCAAGCCTACTAAAAATTCATCACTCAAGACATTTTAACAAGGAGGTTCTCAAAAAAGTTGGGATTTTTCGAGAGATCTTGTTGTTCTCTCAACCATGGAAGCTGCTGTCTTTACTTCACTATACTTTTCCAGTTTACCAATTACAAAGGCAATCTTCAACCCGATTCCACCTGCTCTATCTTCGTCTCCTTGTTGGCTCTGCAATTTTCCAGCCAAGCGAATCACCAAGCCGAGACTTAAAGATGGATCGAATCATGGGCTTCTTCGTCTTCATGCTCTGTTTCACAACGAGGAGGCACCAAGTGAGAACGAAGATAAATTGGTGGAAAATAATGGGCTTGGTCATTTCCCTGCGGATATTTTCTCTTTGTCTGAGGTACATTTACTCCTCTCTAGTAAATTGTCAATAATTTGACTAAAGTTTCTCCGAAGACCTGCGAATTTTGATAATAGGGTCTTGTTTTTGTCTAGTTCTGTGTGGGTTTCAGTTAAAGACACTAACTTTAAGCTTTTGATTGTTGCAAACCTGAACTTGTAGTTTGATGATAATGGGGTTCGTGTTTTGTCCAATCGTTATGGTGATATCAGTTGAAATACACTAGCTTTATAATGTGATGCGGAGTTTTATGAAGTATTGAGCTTTTCGATTGATACAAAACCTAAACTTTTTGGCATAAGATTGATTTGCTTCTTTTATGTTTATTTTGTTAAGGAAAAGTTTGAAAGTAGTACAAGTGGTGAAAAGGAGAGTCATAAGATAATCGACGTGGAGGCATCTCTTGCACTTCCTTATGGTGGAGGAACTCGAGCTGGGCTTTTTAGAACCCCGATCTCTGGTGGTGTTCAAAGCGCAACCTCTGCTCATGGCTTACCTCGACCCGCTTTAGCTGTTCGTAACTTGATGGAACAGGTACAATGTTTATGGATCCTCATTGTTTCCCTTTTCACTTTACGTTCGATGAGGGAAAGATGTTAAACCTCTTGTATCTTGTTTGGTTCCTTGGTGTTATACTGTCTATGGTGTGAAGGCAAGGTTTGCTCATCTATGCACAGTGATGTCTAGAATGCACCATCGCCGAGAAGGCTACCCGTTTGGTTCTTTGGTAGATTTTGCACCTGATCCAATGGGGCGTAAGTCTTTCTCTTAACTTCACTTAAACTCTCAAACAACGTTCTCTTTTGCATTTGATGATTAGCTTCTACTACTTCTTTATTGTTTTCAGACCCAATATTTTCGTTTTCACCATTGGCTATCCACACTCGGAATATCTTAGCTGAACCTAGATGCACCCTCGTTGTTCAGGTAAACATCATCTATCGTGTCATAACTGTACAAGCAGATTGGTTTTTGTTCCCCTTTTTGGTTTTTCTGACTTGGATTTGGTTTTGTAGATACCTGGATGGAGTTGCTTATCGAATGCAAGAGTAACATTGTTCGGCGATGTGTACCCATTGCCAGAAAACGAGCAAGTGAGTCTCTATGTTACTTATGAAATGTCACCTGCTTAACAACGTTATCCCTCTTACCGTTTCATAATTCTTCTCTTGACCTCTGTTTCCAGGAATGGGCCCATAAACAGTACATGGCTAAGCATCACCAAGGACCTTCCCAACAATGGGGAAACTTTCACTATTTCAGAATGCAGAACATAAGGTTTGTGTCTTCTTATTCAACTTTAGCCACACCATTAGTGTAAACATCTACCAACAATCTGGATTTGTTTTCTCAGTGATATATATTTCATTGGAGGTTTTGGCACTGTCGCGTGGGTCAATGTCAATGAGTACGAGGCTCTTCAACCAGATAAGATAGCTGTTGATGGAGGCGAGCAAAATCTAAAGGTTCGTTTTTTTTTTCTTTCCAAAAACCTTTAAAGTGACTTAAAGTGGAGTAACTTAATTTCATTCTAAATTATGGTTAGGAACTAAATGCCATATTCTCAAAGCCACTTCAAGAGCTATTGTCTACTGAATCTGAGGTAGACGATGCAGCTATCATTTCTATAGATAGCAAAGGGATTGATATAAGGGTTCGTCGAGGTGCTCAGGTGAGTAGTATATACAAATTAAGAACCTTTCTATCTACAAAAATTCTGCATCAGAGGCTTTTGTCAGTTTTTTATTTATGTGTATTCAATTTGTTGTTTGTGCAGTTTAATATACAAAGGTTAGCATTTGAGGAAAGTCTTGGTGTTGAGACTTTAGAAGAAGCCAAATCTGCACTGTGGAAAGTGATAGAGAAAGGCAAGTTGCACAATTTGCAGAAATGACTACAGGTTTGATGAATTTGCAGAAATGACCTTAACGTTTCATGAACGTGTGGAAATGGCACAAAGCTTTGAGTGAAGAGAGCAGCGTGTGAATTTCGTTGGGTCAATTTTGCTTTTCTCTTTTGATCTTCTTTTGAATAGTTCGAATCTGTACAATTAAATAGATTGGTAATAATCAGCAGAATGTTATGTACAAGATTACTAGTTAAGAATGTAAAAATATTGTATCGAAAATGCAATTATCTAGAAATAGATACTTCATCAAATATCAGGCGTTTCGGAAGTTTCCCCAAAAAAAATCTAAAAGTTAGGAAACTGGGGAAAAATGCAGTTTGTGAAATATAGGGGTTGCAAAAAGAGTTTCTCATAAATTTCAGGGTGTTTCCGAAAGTTTCTGAAAGTTTGAAATTTGTGCGGGCAATTTTTATCCGTAGGTGAGCTAAAATGTTCAAAGAAAAAGCCAAAAAAAGGAAGGTTTTTTTTTTTTTTTACCGTATAGTAACCAGAGACAGTGACGATACAACAACAATCATCATTCCCAATAATTCTCGCCAAGAATCAAATCCTTCTCCGATTTCCTCCAATGGCGGCGGAATCAAGTAGAAACCCATCTCCGCCGTCTACTTCGCCGTCGTCGCAGAGCCCTATAACGAATTTAGCCGATGACCATCTCTTCACCATCTTGCTTCTTCTTCCCGTAGATTCAGTCCTCTCTTTCTCCATGGCCTGCAAGAGATACAACGCCTTGGCCTGTTCCGACAGTCTCTGGGAGGCCCTGTGCGAACGAGAATGGGGCCCACAAGCTGTGGATGTCTTAAAGTCATCGTCTTCTTCCTGCTCTTCTTCTTCTTCTTCACGAGATGGGTTTTCATGGGTGATGATGTTTCGGCGAGTTTACAAGATGGATTCTGTTTGCTGTCACAAAATCTCAGACCCAGATGATGATGATGAGGAATCTTCTTCGTTTCCGATCCCTAGAGCTTCTCATTCTCTCAACTTCGTCAATGATCATCTTGTTTTGTTTGGTGGTGGTTGTCAAGGAGGTTAGCCAAAATCATCTTCTCAAAATTCTTAATTTGTTGAAAGCTCTCGATTTTCGAGATGATCCACTCGAGTTTCTTGGTTGCTTCTCGTTTGCTTGATGAGTGTGTTAAGCACACGCCATTTTCATTAAGTGACTCTAATGCTAGTTGGATTAGAGAGTTGCTTCCATCAATTTGAGATCTTTGTGCATATTGCTTTGTCCTTTTTCTCTTCAGGACGCCATCTTGATGATACATGGACATCTTATGTTGACAAGAGCAATCGAAACATGATGAAATGGAAAAAAGTCGAATCTGGGACTCCAAGTGGGAGATTCGGACACACCTGCATCGTTATAGGCGAGCAGCTACTCTTGTTTGGAGGAATAAACGACCGTGGAGAGCGGTTAAACGATACGTGGATCGGTCAAGTCTCTTACCACGAGAGACTCTCTTGGAAACTCCTCAATGTTGGACCTTTGCAGCGGCCTCGTCCTCCTCCTCGCGGTGCTCACTCCGCTTGTAGTATCGCGGAGAAGAAGATGGTTGTACATGGAGGAATCGGGCTGAACGGAGTCAGGCTCGGAGATACATGGATTCTAGAACTTTCGGAGGATTTCACCATCGGTACATGGCACATGGTCGAGTCTTGTCAGTCTCCACCACCACGCTCGGGACATACTTTGACCTGCATTAGAGAGAACCAAGTGGTTCTGTTTGGAGGCAGAGGGTTAGGATACGACGTGCTTGATGATGTCTGGATCTTGGATATTCAAGAAGAGTGTGAAGAAAGATGGGTACAGATCTTCTACGATTTCCGGGATGTTCCCGATTATGCATCGTTGCCTCGTGTTGGTCACTCGGCGACGCTTGTGTTGGGAGGTCGGATCTTGATCTATGGAGGTGAAGACTCTTATAGGCACAGGAAAGATGATTTCTGGTCGTTGGATGTTAAAACCATTCCTGCTTCAGGTTTGCAGCCGCAAGGAGTTAGTTTGAACGGATCGTCGGTGTGGAAGAAGCTTGACCGGATCTCATACGGACCAAAGAGCCGGTCTTTTCACCGCGCCTGTGCTGATAGTTCAGGGAGATTTGTATATGTGTTTGGCGGGATGGTTGATGGTCTTCTTCAGCCTGCAGCATCGTCTGGTCTAAGGTTTGATGGAGAGCTTTTCGTGGTAGAGCTTGTTCTTGGCTTCTCTGATATAGACAATCAACAACAAAGACGTGGCAAAAGCATTTAATGTTGTGGTGGTTTCTCTCTTTTGTAAAACAGCAGGTTTGCTATAAAACCATATTGGAATCCATCATGACCAATTCTCTGATTAAAGATGAACACAAAGATATGGTGTTGGAATTGGAATTTTCTCCATAGATTGTGATTCAGTTTACAATATACAAATTGCTATTACAGGGGTTGGATATATCATATATGTAACGTAAAGGACTTGTTTGAATTAGGCTTAAAGAATGCAGAAATATTGTGGGTTTGGCACAACAAAATTAGCTTGCCTCATGAGTTGAGTATCAGTTTGGTTCTCCACATCTCTGCAAGAACCTTCCTCGGGGCAGGATCATCTGGACCTTTGTCTCTTTGTCCTGAGGTGAAGTATATATGTCCGTCCCAATACCCAACCAGCGTTGTTTTCACACGGTACGGTAACTTACCAATCACATACCATTTCTGTAGAGTAAATAGCAAAATCGTTAGTGACACATTACTCAATCACGAAACTTGGATAGGTTTGAATTGTTTTACCAATGTATTCAAGTTGAACTGGAAGATTTCACCAACGAGAACCATCTTTTTGGTTTCAGGATGCTTCTCTGTTGTGCCTCCAACGATAACAATGGAGTTATTAACGACTTTCCAAGCGAATTCAATATGGGAATCCGGTTTTGGCATCGGCGGCATAACTTTCCATTTCATTTCTTCATCCAACATGTAGACATCACTGAACACCACCTGAACCAAAGTTGAGGAACTCATGATGAGACAGAACTCAATTAGCTTGATTTGTCTCGTCTCTAAGGCATTATTAATCCAATACCTCCATACGTCGTGAGCATTTGAAGATGGGAGAGCCAGGTTTAGCCATGAAATCACCTTCTTGACCACCAATTACAAACAGTCGATCATCCACTACTACACATGCCCTACAATTACACAAAGAGAACCAAATGCTTTGAGTTTTAAGTTCATCTAACGCTTTACCAAAACATAGCATCGGAATAATAATAATAACCTGTGAGGTCCTCCGCGAGGGATTGGAATCTCACTTCTCCACTGATTCTCCAACGGTTTGCCATCTTTAACAGCGATGCTCCAATGTTCAAGCCCTGGTGTAAATCGATTCTCCTTGCTCCCACCCATCACATGGAGTCTTCCTCTCCAAAGCTGGGTAGCCGGTGCATACCTGAATGTTAAAACTTTGTTTGATCATATCTCTCAACATTGAAAGAGAAAAACACTGAGCATAGTACTTGTTTCACTGTACCTAGGAACTGGTAAAGGAACAAAGTCCTCCCATGTGTTTGTATCGGTATCAAGCACGAACGTTTTAGCTGTAGGTCCTCTGCATTGTGGACCAAACTGACCAGTGACAATGTAAATGAATCGTTCATCTGTAACCATCCCTAAATGAGAATGAGCCATCTCTTTCGGCATATCGAATCTTCCTCCCCACGAGTTGTCAGTGAAATTGTAGATATCAACATGTGAATGCACGAGATCAATGGTTCCATATCCAGCAAAGACATATAGAAGATCCCTGATCTGAATCGCAGCTCCGTCTAGACGAGGTACAGGTGAAGCTGCCATCTTCTCCCATTCTAATTCAGGAGCTGGCAAATCTTGAAATGTCGCAGATAGTTTCCTTTCCTTCACACTCTCTTTCTTCTTCTTATTCTTCTTTGTATCTTTCTCCTGAAAGCGGCAAAAACAGAGTATAAACATTGAAGTAGAAGATCATCTTTTTGAAGCTAGAGTTGCTAATTTTCAGATATCTGAGATCTAATTACATCAACAACAGAACATAACCAACGGAGTTTTCACCTGCTCGGAGACGGTTGCGGTGGTAACGGAGGAGGGAAGAGATATTCCCGCGGACCAGTACGAGACCGCGGCGGAGGAGAATCGATGAGAAGTAGCCCAGAGAAAGTCGGCGACGAGTCCGGTAGCTAGAAGCGCGATGCACGAAACCAACACTAGTCTCCCGTACTTGTGCTTCTTCGCCATATCTCTGTGATTTATCTTTTAGATTGACATAACCCTTTAAAATTTGGGAGAAGGGTTTCACGAATTTCACATAAATTTCAAACCTTTTCGAGCTTAGTGAAGCATTAGAGCACACCAAAATGTCGGATCTTGATCTCCGAGATGCTGCTTCACCTTTTATTTTTCATTTTTATATTTGACTAAACCAACAAAACCCCAACTAAATAAGTTGAACCAAACCGAAATTTAAAATGTCTTCCCAAACCAAACCAAACTGGTTATTAAGTTTATCTGCGCAACTGAACTGATTCACAAAACCAGAAGTAACGATTCTCTCCTCCAAATTGAGAGAGATCATCTTTCAAATACATAATTAACTCAAACACGCAAAACAAAACATCATAAAGATCTGCGTCTAACAAGGAAGTTCTCAAAATTATGCAAAAGAGCAAAAGAAATCACACCAAAGATTGAAAATGTTGTGACATTGTTGACTTGTTGTTTTGTTTCCATAAGATCCTTTCTACGCAGAAACTCCATTTTTGTTCTGGTTTCTTCTGGTTTTCCATTTTCTAATCTTTGCCGAAATCTTCTCCACCTTCATCATACGTGCCTCTAGGTTCGCTGCTAGCTCATATAATGCAACCATTCTCTGCTTCTCAATGGATATCTGCTTTTCTCCATCTTCATGGACCAAACACTCTGTTTCCTTGGTTCCATCACCTACCATAATCCTCTTCTTCTCTGCATTGACTCCACTTAAATCAACCTCAACATCAAAGTTTTGCTTTGTCTCTGGTGGTGACACAATACTTTCAACTGCTCCTCTATTAGCACCGAGAAGAGGATCCAAAGAGTTGTTTTCATTTCCTGTGATCAGAACCGTATTCTTCCCTGCTTTGCTTCCAGCTTCTTCTTCTTCTTCTTCTTCTTCTTCATCATCATCCATACAATTCTTATCATCATCCTCACGAGCTCGCTTGTTTCCCAAATGCTCACTTTTCCTCTTCACTAAATCCTTGTGGAACAATTCACCAAGTAGCACTTCTCTTGAAGCTGATTTCAAGTTTTCCGTTGTTCTACGCTTCCTAGATCTTTTGAGTATTCCAGGAAACCCTTCTCCCAACGGCTGAAGAAATAGAGTTAATGGCTGTAACTTAGGAGGAACTAAAGAGTTGTCTTCATCAAGTGGGCTCAAAAGCGTATTCTTCCCTGCTTTGCTTCCGGCTTCATCAGTCTCTTCATCGCTTTGCTCTATTTCTGGTGGTGGAACAATCTCATTTCCATCAGCTCTTATCCAAGAAAGCTTTTGAAGAGGACCCGAATCCTCAAGTATACTTTTTTCACCAAGCTGTCCAAAAGCATCTCTTCCATTGTTCTTTACATCACTACACTTCTTCTTTCTAAGTCCCATTACTTGAGCGATGGTGAGGCTATCATCATCTTTCTCATCATTTGATGAAAACTCACCCAAAGTACTCTCATCCTTGTCACGAGCTCGCTTAGTGTACTTCCGCTTCTTGGGACCTGAAGGAACAGAACTAGTAGTACCGTCACCACCTGTGATGTTTCTTTGTCTCAGTGATTCAGCAACTCGAGAACACTGAAGTTCTAGAGACGACTTCCTCCACCACTCAAAGAACATTGGAGTAAATTGAGGTTTTGCAGAACGAGAAGGGATGTACAGTGTCGAATCATCAATAGGCTTGTTGTACTCATACCAAGCTGCCTTTTTGGAGACTTTGTTCCGGTTAACAGGACAAGGAACATCCTGACGCAGTCCGAACTGTGAAGCCACTCGATTGGGAAAGTAATGCTCCACAGAATCAATCCCAACAAGTTCAGACACCCTGATGCATCGAGCAAAAGAGATGAATTCATCATCAAGATTGCGATCAACCCGAACCGACATTGCTTTCTCAGGGTAAAACCGAGGAAACTTCCAATTTGCCACAGTCTTTGTGTAGGGACGCCACTCAAAACTGTCCACTTTTGAGTTTTCAAGAACCTTCCTCACATTGCTCTTTCTCCGTTGTTGCAGGTTATCCCAACGAGCCATTCTTGGCTCACCTTCCTCTACCATCGGATTCGGTTTTGGCTGAAGTTCCCTGAATCTCTCCCACGTCCAAACATGAACCAAATGGAACAAGGAAGACAGAACAATTTTTTCGGTACTTTTGTTGATGGTGAGATCTCTAATGTGGTTCTTCAAGAGAGTAAGCTCCGCATACAGGTGGGCAAGAACAGCCGGAGCAAGAGCAATCCTCGTGCCTCTTGAAAGGTGAACAGCAATTGGAAACACGGCTTTAGAGATTACATAGGAGGATGATGGAAATACGAAATAGCTAAGCCACAACACAAGGAAAGCCACATGCTCAAGCTCATCCTCACTGTTCATGAATCTCTCCATCCATGCTACTTGAGTTACTATAGTCATTTTACCTTCCAAAAGCTTCTGAAATGCTCTCTTTAGTTTCGCCTCTGTCATCTCTCCTGAGCTATCGAGGGGAGCAAAATACGGCGAACCCAAAACAGAGAAACCTAGAAGCACCATTACGTCTTCAAGCGTTATGGTTGCTTCACCCCAAGGGAAGACGAAAGTTTTGGTGTCAGGTGACCATTTCTCAGCAATACCCATAACGAGATCTGTGTTGGTTCTGAAGATTCTCTGTCTGCTTGCCATGACTGCTTCGAAAATCCCAGCTTTCTTCCAAGTGGGTTCGTGCAAATCAGCCATTTTTGTAGCCCAAGACTTGAACTTTGTGTTCGCCAGTCTCCACCCACTGAAGGAAACGCTCAAAGAAAGAGCCTTTAAGTCCGGAGGACAAGATTCTGAACGGTTCTGAGGAGGAAGCATACTTAAGATCCGTCAATGGAGGTGGTTAAGCAGGGTTTTTAAAGATGGGTTTTTTTTTGTCAACCACGAGAACTTCTCTCCCTCTCTCTATTTTTCTTTCTGGAGAAGAGGAAGATTGAAGATAAAGTTTTGTTCTTTTGCTCTCTCTTTTGATTGATTAAATGTTTGAAGAAAGCCAAGGCGGAGAAAGTATGTTGCAGACGTCTAGCAGAGGTGATGGAGCTCGAATGCAACAGTTCCTTTTTAAGGCAATTGGAAAGAAACTAATTATTAATGTAAGGTCTCATCAGCAATAATCAAATAGATCTTTAAATAATTTTTCAAAAAAGTATCCTTTTTAAAAATGTTTTCATCGTTTGGCAGTTTGTGTATAAGCCTGCAAGAAGAATAATAAAAAAAAAGAGTGATTTTTATAATAGTGACACATTTTACTTATTTAGAGAAAGATGCAAAACTGAAAGTGAAAGGTAATGATGGTACTATACAAATTTCTCATTTGAACGTGTAGCTCTTACTAATAAACTCGGATCTGCAACACACCAAGAGGCTATAAGCTCATAACTGAGTTCAAAAGATACAAATCAAACAGTCTTCAAACGATACTAAGCATGAAAAATCGAAAGATACTAAAGCAAAAAGACGAGATTGATCTTTGATATTCAACTTGCATTTTACTGCTTCTTTGTTTCTCTGCTTAAAACAAGACCTAGATTAAACAAGCTGATGCCATGTTCCTCCGTTTCATCGCTCTCTTTGCTTCCTTCCCGCCTTCATCAGTCTCTTCATTCATTTGCTCTGTTTGTGGTACAGTTTCATATGCATCAGCTCCTACAATGCCACCATCTTTATGGAGCAAACAGTCTGGTTCCTTGCTGCCATCAACGAGCATAGTCTCCTTATCTGCATTGGTTCCATGTACATCAAGGTCAGCATCATCACAAGCTTGCATTGTCTCTGGTGGTGACAGACCAATGTCAAGTGCTCCATCAAAACCAGCAGGAGGATCTGAAAAGTTGTTTTCATCAGATGGGCTCAGCACCATACTCATCCCTGCTTTGCTTCCTGTTTCGCCGGTATCTTCATTTCTTTGCTCTATTTCATGTGGTGGTACAGTTTCATAAGCATCTCCTCCACTATACGCCTCGCTAAATCTTCTTTTTAACCTTTGAGAAAAGGTGAGTTTATCATCATCTGCTTCATCATCATTGTCTGATGGAATTTGCGTCTGACAGCGAACCATAGTACTCTCATCATCTTCACGAGGTCGCTTCATGGACTTGCCTCTCTCGTTTCTTGATTTCTCACCTTTCAAAGCTGCCTCCGGTGAGAGATTCTTCCGGTTAACAAGACAAGGAACATCCTGAACCATCCCGAACTGTGAAGCCACCCGATTGGGAAGATAATGTTCCACATAACCAATTCCAACAAGCTTAGACACCTTGGTACAGCGAGCAAACACCTCTCTCTGCGAAATTAACCGAGGATATTCCCAGTTTTTCACAACTTTTGTGTAAGGACGCCACTCAAAACCGTCAATTTTCGAGTTTTTCAGAATCTTCCTTGCATCCCTCGCTCTCTGTTTCAGGTCATGCCAAAGAGCCAATCTTGGCTCACCAAGAAGCATTGGATTAGGTTTCGGAGGCTGTAGTTTCCTAAATCTCTCCCAAGTCCAGACTTGAACCAGCTTAAACAAGGCACTCAGATCAGTCTTGAGGGGAAAATCCGATCGGTCGAAAGCTCTAATGTGGTCTCTCAAGAGAGTTAGCTCTGCATACAAGTGAGCAAGAACTGCTGGAGCAAGAGCGATCCTGGGAAATGAACAGCAACTGACAGGATGTCTTCAGAGATGTGATAATATGTTGACGGAAACACAAAGTAGCTGAGCCACAACGCAAGGAAAGCTACATGCTCAAGCTCATGACCACTGTCCATGAATCTCCGTACCCATGTTATCTCGTTTGCGCCAAAGCCTTTCTCGTTCTTAATCCGCAGACACTCGTTTTCCAGTCTCGCCTTTGTCTTTTTGCCTGAGGCTCAGAAACGGGAGAGCCCAAAACAGAGAACCCTAGAAGCAACATTACATCCTGTAACGTTATGGTTGCTTCTCCCCAAGGAAAAAGGAAAGACTTGGTTCGAGGACACCATTTCTCAGCAACAGCGAGGACAAGGGACGTGTCTTTATGGATTTTCTTGGTGGATGCCATGATTGCTTCGAAAATCCCAGCTTTTTTCCAAGTCGGTTCGTGCGTTTTAGACAGTTTATGAGCCCAGTGCCTGAATTTCTTGCTTGCAAACCTCCACCCACGGAAGTCAACACTCAAAGATAGAGCCTTTAAGTCGGGAGAAGAAGCTGGACGATTGTCACAACGAGGAAGAGGAAGTTCCGGTCCATCAATGGAGGTGGGAGTGAGACAAGGGGTTTTGTTTCTTCTAGGTCGACTGATTTCAGATGGAGAAGGCATGACTTTCTACAGCGTAACTAAGAAGCTTGAGAGAGATTTTGTTATTCTTTTAGGAGAAAAAAATTGGCTTTGTAAGACCCAAATGAAAGGAAGAAGATGAAAGAAAGAAAGTTTCTTCTTTTTTTTGTTTTCCGTATCTTACAAAATCTCTTTTTAAATGTTTCATTTAGAAGCTAAGCAGAAACTCCAGTTTTGATATGGTTTCTTTCGGTTTTCCATTTTCTAATCTTTGCCGAAGTCTTCTCCGCCTTCATTATACGTGCCTCTAGATTCGCTGCTAGCTCATATATTGCAAGCTTTCTCTGCTTTGATCTTTCATCATCATCATCTCTCTGCTTTTCTCCATCTTCATGGACATGGACCAAACACTCTACTTCCTTGGTTCCCTCACCGACTATAGTCCTATTCTTCTCAGCATTGACTCCACTGACATAAACTTCATCATCACAGTTTTGCCTTGTCTCTGGTGGTGACACAACAATGTTATCTATTCCCCCATTAACATCAAGAAGAGGATCTGGAGATTTGTTTCCATCAGATGGGATCAGAACCGAAATCTCCTCCGCCTTGCTTCCAGTTTCTTCTTCATCATACTCTTCACTCCTCTGCTTTGTTTCTTGTGGCGCTACAGTTTCATCATCTCCAGAAGCAAGCTCTTGAAAAATCCTTGAACCATTGCTATCCTCCTCATGTCTCCTTCTTTTTCCAAGTGATACAGAACCATCACCTTCTGTTTTACTTCTAGATTTGATCAACTGAGCAATGGTAATTTCATCATAACAATCCATACGATTCGAATCATCATCATCGTACTCACGAGCTCCCTTGCGTCTCTTGTCTCTCAAATGCTCACTTGTCCTCTTGGCTAACTCCTTCTGAAACAACTCACTAAGTGGCACTTCTGTTAAAGCTGAGGCACCACAATCACCGGTCTTGCCTTTCTTTATCTCAGATCCCATTTGTTTCGCTGTTCTACGTTTCCTACATCTTTTGAGTTTTGCAGAAAACTCTTTTCCTATCTCCTGAAGCATTACCTTAAGAGATACATCATCATCATCAGCTGTATTTCTTGCGTTAAAAGTTTCAGTTGACTCTGGAGAACCCAAAAAGCCTGAAACTGATTTTAGCCACCAGTCTCGGTATCTTACAGTAACAGAAGTTGTAGCGAGACGAGAAGGCACATACAGCTTTAGACCAACAAGAGACTTGTTGTAATCATCCCATGCCTCTTGTTCTGTGAAGCTGCTATGATCACTAACCAAACCAGGAAGGTCTTGACTCAACCCGAATTGCATTGCCACTCGATTCGGATAGTAACCCTCTACAAAACCAATCCCAACAAGCTGAGAACTCCTCACACATCGAGCAAACGAAACAAACTCATCGTCAAGATCGTCATCAATAGTCACCCACTTAGCTTCTTCAAGGTACAACCGAGAAAGTTTCCAATTATCTAGAGGTTTAGTGTATGGCCGCCACTCGAAATCATCAAAACTCAAACTCTCTTTCTCTGCATATTTCTGATTTAAACGGCTCCATTGAGCAATCCTTGGTTCACCTCTTCTTACCTCTCTAGCTTCTGGTCTTATGTTTCTGAACCTCTCCCACGCCCAAACTTGGACTAACTTAAACAGCGATTTGGGAGAGAGATTCTGAGTAGACTTTTCTCTAGCAAAAGCTTGAATGTGACCCAAATCTCTGTATATACTCGCTAGAACAGCAGGAGCAAGAGCAACCTTTTCACCTCTAGCTAAACGAACAGCAATTGGGAACACATGTCTCGAAATACAACGGCGAGAGTTAGCTGGAAAAACCAAAAACGAAAGCCACATCGCAAGAAAAGCTTCATGCTCCAACGAATCATCTCTGTCTCTGAACTTCAAAGTCCATTGTACTTGACTAATGCGCCAATCTCTGCAACTATTATTGTTTACAATCTCTTCCCTTGCTTTCTCCAGGTTCTCCACGGAATCTCTCATCTCAGAGCTTTCTAAAGGGGCAAAAACTGGAGAGCCCAAAACGGAAAACCCTAGAAGCACCATTACATCCTCGAGCGTGATGGTTGCTTCACCCCAAGGGAAGACGAATGATTTGGTCTCAGGACACCATTTCTCGACAAGAGCTGAAATCAGAGACTGGTCTTCAAGGATTTTGTATGCCGATGACTTGATCGCCTCAAAGATCCCAGCTTTTCTCCAAGTGGGTTCATACAAAGCTTCCATTTTTTTAGCCCATGATATGAAATTACCATTTGGAAACCAAAACCCAGTGAAGGATATCCTGGAAAATGAGTCTTTTAGATCTGATGACGAAACAGAGGAACGGTGACGAGGAAGCTCGGCTACAGGACCATCAATGGAAGTTACATAGGGTTTTAGAAAATGGGTTTCCATCAAACAACGATCTTTCTGTTTCCCAGTACCCGAATTCGCATCCATCTGGAGAAGAAGAAGAAGAAAAGCGAGAAGAATCTATTTTCTGATTTCTTTCGAGGCCAAGAAAGAAATTAAAGTTTTGCTTTTGTTATAAAACGTTTGAATTTCTACAGTAAATCCAGAAACTGTGTGCAGGTAATGGAGCTGAACGTTTCATAAATAAAAACAAAAGAAGTGAACCAAAAAGGATAATGACGTAACAGTACTAAATTGATCTGATATTTCATTTCGGTTCAAATTTGTGTTCCTGGTCTGGTTATTCAGTGTGATTATGATTTAACCATACTATATTGATCCGATCAACAATGTGCCAAAAAAAGAAGTATTTTAAACATTCGGTTTGGTTCATACTTTTGTTCCTGTTTTGGTGCCTTATAATCCAAACCTTGTGCTACTCGTTGGGTAATTGAAAAACGGTTTGATCTAGACCGTGGTTCAAAAACATAAAACACACACATTCTTGTTTAACCCCATTCAAAAAAAAATTGTGAGATCAATTTGGTTAAAAGGTCCACCTTTACTTAAAATTTCAACATTTCTATACAAATAGCTCCAAGAAGAAAACACATGCATTTTATACAATCATGGTACAACTTGGTAAAGTAACAGATGCAGCTTTTGCCCATAACCAGAACTTGGATCCGATATTCAAAGCCAACAAAAAAAAAGGTAACCTACAAGTGAGTCTCAGTTACTGTGTTGATCTCTGAGTATCCATATGTTGTCGAGGTTAGTAGTAATATCCTATTTGTAGATGACATATTATCCTAAAAAATTGATCTCTTTTAACCTTCTTCTTTCATTAGTCTCTACCTTTCTGCAAATCAAAGATGTAGCAAACAAAAAACCGAAATGGAGTGTTAGCCCAAAAAAAACAACGGTGTTATAGGAGTTTCAAGGTTGCTTCATGTCGGAAATTTCTCACCTTTCCACTCATACACTTGCTTCTTTCTGCCTGTATGATCTTGAAAAAAGTCATAAACGGTTTGTGTTTAGAGACTTGCAGTTTCGTTATGAGATAATGTCTGATTTATAGGGAGTTTGTGAACATACCCATTGCTACGCTGATTGTTCTGATGAAGCTGCCTTGTCTTGCTCGGTGTCAAACTTTGTTTGGTGGTTTTCGTCAGACTTTTTGGGGGAACCAAACAAACTCTCAGGAAGAGTATTCTCCAGATCCGTCTCTTGCCTTGGGAAGTGAATAAATGAAACCGTATGTTAGTAACTACAGTAGCTTATTTTGGTTAGAAGAAGAAGACTTAAAGCCTTGATTCTTATCACTCATTTTACCCGTTGTACAAATCATTACTGTAACCACGTTCTTCGTTGCTGTTTGCTCCTAGCTGAAGATGATTATCACCTGCCGCCAAGAAGAAAGGATCGTCAATAAAGTCCAGAGAAAAGAAAGCTTAAATGAAGAGCCCAGCAACAACAACAACAACCTTCCGTGGTTTCTCCAATGTTGTTTTCTGGTTGAAAGAGAAGACTTTGATTGAATCGAGGCGGGAAATGAGCGCGAGAGCCTATAGAAAGACTACGGTGGAGATGGTGAATAGGTTCGTTCTCGAGGTCGGGCAATTGCAGATTCAAGAACCTTCTTCTTTGGAGTTCTACTTCTATGGCTTGTTGTAAATCAGCTTCTTGCTCGGCTTTTCTTCTCAGCATCTCATGTGTGCTGTTTGAAAACATCCTTGGTCCTGGTAAACGAAAAGACAAACCAAGAAGAGTTAGTTACTATCTCAGTAAGAAAGAGCCAACAAATCGGTTTCTTAACTCAAATCGAAACTAACCCAAGTGACAGTCATATAGATCCATTCCAGAGGGACTTGACGAAGGAGAATAGTTCCCTCTCTCTATCAGCTGCTGCAGTTGCTGCTGTTGCCTCTTGCTATTGTTTCACCAAACAATAATGAGTAAATGAACACAAGAGACTCGGAAAAAAACATGATAATAAGTGAAATTATACAGAGAAAGATTTTACATGTGAAGGATTTTTCCTTTCTCCTTGTAGGGTTTAACGAGCACGCGTGAGTCACAGATGAAATGAGGGTTTCCTCGAGCCAATATGGTTCTCACAGTTTCGGCATTAGCAAAAGTAACAAACCCATACATCCTCTGCTGCTGATATGGAATCCTCACGTCTTCCACAGTTCCAAAATTGCTACACGGATTCAATAAGAAGAAACCATCACTTTCAAAACAAAACAGGAGAAAGAAACACCGGTTCTCTCACAGGACACATACAAACCATTCCTACTTTACCTGAAGTAACAGGAGACGTCTGTGTCGGTGAATGAGCTTTCAGATGGAAATGTCAAGTAAATCTGTCTAGAGACTGAATCATCTCTCTCATGCCTCCCTGGACTGTAATAGTGACCACCTTCTTCTCCAAACTGTCCTGATCCTTGTCTGCAAGAAACAATCCTAAAAGTCAAAACCTTTTGATACAAAACTTGTGTTCACCAAAATGCTAAACTTTTTTTTTAGTAAAGTCTGAGTCTTTACTAACCAAAACTACACAGAGAAAGAGAGACTAAAACTTACGTTTGCAGGAGGAATCGAGCAGCAGCCATTCTCTGTTGCTGAGCTAACTTCATCAGCATCATCTCCTCTCTCTGTAAACAATCATAACCCCTCTCACTCGGAGACCGAAAATCACCAGAGGAACCGAAATCATCACCTAAACCGGCCTGTGGAAACCGATAACCGCCTCCTCCAAACCCTGGTTCCTCTGATTCGAGGCAAACGTCGTTTGCAGAGAAGCTCCTCTTGTGAAAGTTAGCAAATGGATCTTCGTCGTTGAGAAACGAAAAGTGGTTACTCAGTTGCCGCTGTTGTAGTTGCTCATCGACGAAATCTCCGGAAGAAGAGGCGATGAGCGATGAGCCGTCACGAAATGGGCTAGAGTCGAAGTTAGGGTTAGTGTTGAGAGTTCCCGAAGTTAAGGAAGGAGACAAAGGGTTAGGGTTTCTCGAAAACTCCAAAAACCCGTTCCTTGGAGAAGACTGAGACAATGGCTGGCGATGGATATTGATGGGTCTCGAAGTAGGGTTGTGTGAGAAACCGTTGGAGGAAAGACCCAAATCGGATTTGGCTTTCCGGCAGAAAGTCTGTAAGAGAGTGTCAGGGCCAAAAGCAATACGAATCAAATCACTCTGTTCCATGTCTTGCAGGAGAAAATAGCCAATGATTTTGGGAGCGTTCTCTGGTTCTAAAGTTCTGATCTTTGTAAAGACTATGGAAGTCGGATCGTCGGGATCCATGGCCGGAGAATTTTGTGTTTTTCTTTGTTTTTTTCCCAGAGGAAAGTGAAGAAGACGAAGGAGAAACTAAAAGGCTTTTGCTTTTGCTTTTTTTTTCTCTGAGAATTGGTGTTTGTGTGAGTAATTGGGGTTTTTCTTCGGTTTGTGTTAAATCATAAATTTATGTTTTTCATTTGGAAATTTGTTAGTTTTAAATTTTGTAAAAAGCATTTTAGTATTAAAACAAAACAAAGAAAAAGATCCGATTTTTTTTGGGTGTTATTGTTCTTTCTTTATGGGGTTTTGTTTTGATATCGAGTTTTTAGGGTTTTTGAAGTTCGTAAAGAGCGGGATTAAGAGATAAAAACAAAATTCATTTATTTTTTGTTTAGCGAATTAATTAAAATCATTTAAGAGTATTTAATTGCGAATTTGCGAGTAGTCAAGTATCAACGTTATTCCCCTTTTCTTGGATAAAGTACCTTTTTCCGACCTTTTTTTGTTATTTATTTATTTTTTAAAAACTTTTTAAGAATATTTATTTATAAAGTTAGCCTTTACTTAAATGAATATAGTTCAAATCCACAAAATCAAATTTAACCAAAAATAAGGATATGACTGATATGTAAGATTAATAACAAAATAGCAGAATAACTAAAAAATTATTAGCGGAATAAATTGAACTGAACAATATTTAAATAACGTAAAAATGTGATGAATAACATGAATAGTAAAAAAAATAACAGAATCAAGTTTTCAAAACATGAAAACGTGAAAAAATATTCCTTCCGTTTTTTTTATATAAGATGTTTAAGGTTTTGCACATATTTTAAGTAATTATTTAATTTTTTCTTTTTTCAAAATAAAACATTATTTCCAAAACAATTCAACCAATAGAAATATAATATACAAAATTTAAACAATTAAAACAATTACTTTTTACATTGATTTTTGAAAAATCATCTAATTATGAACAAAAAAAATTTTTAAAACATCTTATAAAAGAAAATGGACAGAGTATCATTCAAACTCAAAATTTACAGTTATCTTTATCAAATCAAAAATTCAAATACAGGTATAAACTTATCAAACATATCATCATTAAGAGTGTTTTTAGAAGAAGAAAAAAACGTGTATAACTTAACGTCGTCAAGTAAATAACTTGCTATCCTTGAAAATGAAGTGGCATGTTTTGTTTTTATTTTCTTAAAAACAATTTTACGAAGATTAAAGTTAAACAAACGAAACATAAAGTCTAGTACAGTAATTTTAGTAGGGCTCAAGCCTCAATGGGCTCATCAACAATAAAGACATTTTTTGTCAGACAGCTGTTCTTTTCCCCCCGTCACACCAAAGCCCGCGCGTGACATTAATTTCCCTCAGTCAATTTACTTTCCATTGTAACGAGTGTACAGGCTTCAATTACTCATTTCTAAATCCTAACCGTTCAATCTGTCTTTAGATGTATAAGTTAACGGTTAAGATTGCTTTACGAAGACACGTGTGTTGTTAAACTTAAATACTCCCCATTGACCGGATTTGTATTATTTAGTCAACAATATCAGACAATAAAGAGTACTCTCCTTTGTGGCAAATAAATGAATGCTCTTAGAGAAAAAAAATGACCCAAGAGATTTTCTTTTTGAAATGCTTTCTATCTCAATCTCTAATTTTTGTAAAAGAAATGTTGTTACGTTTGTAAAGAATATTTCGAATTTAACACACACACACAAATTCGACTGGAATGATTATGTGTAAACGGATAAAACAATGATGATCACCATCAAAGACAGGGACAGTGGATATTGTAAAGTGTAAATAAATACTTAAATATGACTTTAGTTAGTATCTTAATTCTTAAGTGATAAAATAATTTGACAACATCGACACAAGAAAAATAATTGGACATCATGAAAGTTTATAAAAGGGATGCCATGATTCCATCTCAAGTGGTTTTTCCTTTTTTGTAAAGGTGTAATCGTTGCTTAGTACATTCTCTTGTTGTTTGTAACTAACCTAACATAAAATGTTTTTGTTTATAAGTAAAATACCATTGTTCGTCAGGTATTAACTATTAACGACTTTAACCCATAATGTATAGAGAAATTGTAACAAATGGACATAAACAATCACTAAATTAAATGATAGGAATCGACAGAAATTGACAACTTTTTTCTGTTTACTGTTAACATTAAAAAACCTATTATGTTCTTGTTTATATGTATTGCAAGAAAAAAGAAAAATAAAAAAAAAAGAAGGAAAGAAGAAGAAAATTGGAAAAGAAGATGGGGACAGTGACGATGATTATCGTGGTACTGATGGTTTTGTTGATGGTGGTGGTGGTTGGTGGTGATGATAGAGTCATCGGTGTTGATAGTGATGGTTGATTATGGGGGTGATGTTGGTGATAGTCGGTGGTGGTGATAGTATTGTCGTTGGTGGTGGTGATGGAATCACTGGTGGTGGTGATCGATGATGGGGATGGTGGTGGTGCTGATAGTCGGTGGTGGTGATAGTGTTATCGGTGGTGGTGGTCATCGGTGGTGGTGATGGTGTTATCAAATGTGGCGTTGGTTGGTGGTGGTTGTGGATGACGGTAGTGATGGGTGAAAGATGGTGGACAACAGTAATAATAACGTTAACAATAATGCTTATGGTTGTTATCTAAGTAGTTATCACAATGATTTTGCATAATTTATACAGTTAACAAAGTTAACTCTTATTTTTATGAATTGATATCAATGTTAGCACAATAGTTAGCATACCCACAAAGTTAACATGATAATTTTTTGACATGATAACATTGTTAATATGATAATTTTGCATAACTTATACAGTTAACAAAGTTAACGCGATTTTATACAATATGCTAATCTAGTATTATATTAGTGAGTACAGTTAACACAGTTAGCACAATCATATATATAATTAGTAAGTTATCTCTCCATCTAAGGTGTCCACATCAGCAAAAATTTTATTTTAAAATGGGCTTTTAAATATTTTGTGTTTTGTTTTTAAAGTTTGGGTGTTTATTTTTGGGCTTTTAATATGATTAATTTGAAATTAAAAACAAATACTTATTTTACAAATCATAAAAATTACAAATTCTTAATTTGTGAAAATGAGTTTGGAAGGAAACCAAATATATACAGAAAATAATTACCAAACTTTATAAAGAAAATTCTTAGAAAGATTATATATAAAGTTAAAGTAGCTGTCAAAAAAATAATCTATAAAGCTAAAGTAAATTCATCATATAAAACAAATACTTATTTTACAAATTATAAAAACTACAAATTCTCTTTGAAATAAAAAAAATTAAAAATATTATTTCGAATATAAACAAACAAAATTTGAAGAAAAAAAGACTGATAAGATTGTAAAAGGCTAGGTACGAGATTGATAAGATGGTAAAAAACTTTTCTTTTACTTATTTCCTAGCATAAACACAATACAACATGTAAAATCGCTTCTCATGTGACCTTCTTCTAGGTTGGTTTACAATCTTGAAGCTAACTTAACTAAACTCAACTGGTTGCCTCTTGGCAAGTTTCTTCCAGTGGCGTGGCTATGATGAACTATGTTCATAAGGTTTCAGATATGGTAAACATTCCGGTGTCATCTTAATCCATCTTTATAACCCTATTAGAGTTAGATGATAAGCTGTTAAAAAACATCACGCTTTTTATTTTTGTTTTGTTTGTTACATGATCATAATGTCTCACTTGCAGCAGATTTCATGTACGATGCAATGTCGAGAGATGCTACAACTAGTGTTGGGTATGACTACATTCTTCGACAGGTACTTAACTGATTCTTTCCTTTGTAATTGTTCCATTGGAGTTGAAACAAAAAGCAACCAAAAAGTTGTTGAATTTTTTGGTTTGGTTTTAGAGTGAGCTAAGAGGTAAGATTGATTCTAATGGAACAACCTCTGCTCACCTCGAAGAACGTTTGCCTATTCGTGATGGAATCTGTTGCATTCTATCCGCAGAGGTAAATAAAAAAATAATAACTTGATCATCATGCGGTTTCATGTATACTTTTATATTTTCTGAGTTTTGTTTTTTCGATAATGATTTTGATTTGGTTTAAAATAGGTGGATCACTTGAAAAAGGATTACAAGTTTGGTTTCGGTGTCAAATTGGTAACAGGTTACGACACAGATGTATAAATGCTGGGTTAAATTTAATCATAAAGCTTTGTTTTGGCTTAAACACTACAAAATTGCTTCTGATTTTGGCTAAATAACGTTTATCTATTTCCTAACTTTAATTTATGATGATCATCGCGCTGATTTTGTAGTTTTAAAGTTGATTTTTAGCTGTTTTGGTTCCATAATGAGTAAACAAAACATAAAATTAGTTTCGTCTTAACTAAACAAAACATAAAATTAATTAAATCGGAGTAAACCAACCTATACAATTTGATACGAAAAAAGTAACAAAAGAAGAACTTGTATAAATAAAATGGTCAAACTGCAAACCTTTAAAATTCATAACCTTTCCCTTTACTCACTCATTCACTGGATTGACTAAATCTGACACTTTTATGCCATACTCATTAGTTATTCCTTGCTGATTCTACATGTTCAATTTTCCAAACATCTCAAGAAACCAGAGTTGTCTGAAATGCAAAGCGAACTTCAATGGAGAGTGTTGTTGTAATGAAGAAAAAAGACTGGAAATTCTATAGGTTAGTTCTGCCTCTAAACTCTCTTATTTGTGTTTATGATCTGTTTAAAGACTGAAATTTTAATTGCTTTTGTGTTAATCATAACATTGTGTGTATATTATCAGGTGATAATACACATTTTTAGCAACAAACTGTGTAAACAGTGTTGGGAACAACATCCAAAAGTGCAATTGGAGCCTGGAGAATGAGAATGTACCTTGTGCGTCTCTCTTCCCCGATCTTTAATTTACTAATTTGTTATTTTCATATCCTAAACGAAACTCTCTTTTTCCCTTGTTTTTTATATGATCTTCTGCAAATATGACTTCTTGAAGTACTGGAGAAACACGGTTTGCAAGAAATGCGATTGCGATTATATATGTCCCATTCATTTTTTGATTATATACAGTAGAACTCTATAAATTAATAATGTTGGGGCGTTGATCGTTGTATTTTGTTGAATATATAAAAAATCTTATTATTAAAATTAATAAAAACATATTTAAAAAGAAAGAAAAAAACAAGACATTCTTTTGTAGACC